CATGGACTTTCCTGCCCCGGCTGGCTTTGAACCACAATCCTCAGATCTCAGCCTCCTGAGTAGCTAGGATGACAGGTGTGAGCCACCAGCTCCTGGCTACGCTTCATCCTCTTGCTTCAGCCTCCCTTGTATTGGAATTACTAGTATTAACACGGCACCATGCCTGGCCAATTATTTGCAAGTAACTGAGTACCAGTTCTGTAGCTGTACCTGTGGTTTTGTTGGCTTATTTGTGATGCTGGGCATTGAGCCCAGGTCTTTGAATATGCTAGGCAAGCCCTCTACTAGACAAGCTACATATCTAGCTAACCAAACATGCATAGATTTGACTCCGTGTTTTGTTATTTTCATTGTCAGTTATGGGGCTTGAAGTCAGGGCCTGGGCACTTTCCCTCAGCTCTTTGTTTTTTTTTTTTTTTTTATTGTAAAGCTACTATACAGAGGGTTACAGTTACATGAGTGAGGTTATGAGTACACTTCCTCTTGAACATTGTTACCCCCTCCATTGTTTTCCCCCTACCATCCCCTCCCTCCCTCCCTTCCCCGAGGTTCTTTTTTTTTTTTTTTTTTTGATTGTGATTAAATGATTACATAATTTCAAAGTCACAAGTTCATTCTAACTTCCCTGGAGCAAATTGTCTACCACAGTCTGTAATATATAACAGTGTTCACATGTTATATCCCATATTTGTGATCAGCAGCATGAGGATATTTAGTAGTGGTTCAACCAGATGAGCGGGAGTTCTTTGTTTCTTAAGTCCTGTTAGTTTTGTCGTATCACCTAACCTTTTGGATTTAGCATCCACTTATGAGGGAGACCATGTACCGTTTGTCTCTTCGTTCTTGGCTTACCTTGCTCAACATGATTCCTTCTAGCTCCATCCATTTCCCTGCAAATGCCATTATTTTGTCATTTCTAATGGCTGCATAATATTCCATTGTGTATAGATACCACAATTTTTGGATCCATTCATCTGTGGTGGGGCACCTAGGTTGTTTCCATATCCTAGCTCCCTCAGCTCTTTGGCCCAAGCCTAATGCTCTACCACTTGAACCACAGTGCTACTTCCAGTTTTATGAGTGGTTTATTGGAGATAAAGAGTCTCATGGACTTCTCCTGCCCGGGCTGGTTTTGAACTCGATCCTCAGATCTCAGCCTCCTGAGTAGCTAGGATGACAGGTGTGAGCCACCGGCTCCCAGCTCCCTGAGCTTTTTTGCTCAAGCGCCACTCCTTGTTTTTTGATGGTTAATTGGAGAAAAGAGTCTCATGGACTTTCCCAAGCCCAGCCTGGCTTTGAACCATTATCCTCAAGTCTCAGACTCCTGAGTAGCTAGGATTATAGGCCTGAGCCATCAGTGCCGGGCTTTGATGTTTATTTTTGTGAGGCAGGGTCTTGCTCTATAGCTCATGCCTGCCTGGGACTCAGTATCCACCAGCCTTAGCCTCCTGAGTGCTAGGATTACAGGCATATACTTTAGGATAATCATGTGTGTGTATGTGTGCACTCATACATGCCAGTACTGGGGTTTGAACTCAACCTCACAGCTCTAGCTTAACTTTTTCTGCTCAAAGATGGTGATCTAACACTCAGGCCACGCCTCCATTTTTTGCTGGTTAATTGGAGATAAGAGTCTCTGATTTGTTTTGCCCAGCTGGCTTTGAACTGATTCTCAGATCTCAGCCCTCTGAGTAGATAGGATTACAAGTGTGAACCACTGATGCCCAACTCAAATGAAGTCTCACATTTATGCCTACTGTCGGTCTGGATTATGATCCTCCTATTTATGTGTCCCAAGTAGCTAGGATGGGCCCAAGACTAACTGGTAGTAGATGCCACCATGCTGAGCTTTTTATTGATTGAGATGGAGTCTTGCTAACTTTTTGTCTGGTCTCAAACTGTGATCCTCCCATTATTTATTTTACTTTTATCAGTAAAAGTAAACTCTGAGCCTGGGTGCTGTCCCTCAGCTCTTCAGCTCAAGACAAGTGGTCTACCACTTGAGCCACAGCACCACTTCCAGTTTTCTAGTGGTTTCTTGGAGATAAAAGTTTCACGGACTTTTCCTGCCCTGACTGGCTTTCAACCACGATCCTCAAATCTCAGCCTCCTGGGTAGCTAGGATGACAGGCATGACCCACCAGTGCCCGGCTGATCCTCCCATTTATAACCCTCCTGAGTAGCTAAGATTACTGGTGCCTAGCTTGTGATCGTAGTCATTTCTTAAAATTGATACTAGATAGTTTTCTTTTTTGGATTAGTTTCCCCCAAATTGTAGTTTAAAGCCTTGGTCTCCAATAGCTCCATTTTTATTCTTTAGAGTTTTTTTGAAAAGGGACAGATTAGGGAAAAAAAAATGAGTCTTCTTTTGGTTGTTGACACAAAACTATAAATGATTTTGCATTTCAGGGTTTCTATTTTGAGAGTTTCTGTTGTGTTTGTTTAGTGCAAGCCTAATAAAGTAGCTCGATTTCTCCGGTGACTGACAGAGCATTTTATTTGCTACATGCAGACACTGCATATGCAAAGAACAAACTGAATGGGAAATGGTACTACTTCGATGACAGTAATGTGTCTCTGGCCTCTGAGGACCAGATAGTGGTGAGTATACCTACCCTGAAACCTGCTTCTTCCTCTCGCCTTTATATCCAAGCTGGGAAGGGTCTCTCAGGCCATTTGGTTAACTCCTAATCCTAACATGACAGGGGCCCTGGGTATAGTAGAGACACGAGACCAGCAATTCTTCTAGGATTTTTCCTAGGAGAGACACTCAGTTTCCTCAAGGTTGTATGTCACAAGCTTTCTGCCTTTCCCTTCTGTCTCTGGTTAAAAGGAAGGGGCTTCATGATTCTATCCAGAAGTAGATGATGCAGGGCAAGATGGCAGGCAGTGTTGAACAGTAAGAAAAAAAAGCTGGGGAAATAAATGTTCCCCTCCACCCCCCACCCCCCCACTCTCAACTTGTGAATGGACATTTCCCTCTTCTCTTGTAGACGAAAGCTGCCTATGTGTTGTTTTACCAGCGTCGGGACGATGAGAGTTACAAGACGCCTTCCTCACTCGCCAGTTTTCCTGGTTCCTCTGATGGGAGGATGAGGCCGAGCAGCGCCCAGCAGGGCCTGGGAGACGACGAATCTTGTAGCATGGACACCAACTGACCCTGGCTCATTCCACTCCGCCACCCCCCCCGCAGCAATGTCCTCTCCCATCCCCTAGGAGATGATACTGATGGCACTCTGAAGACTTATTCATGTTCAATCTAGGAGAAAAAAAAAACCAGATGAGAAAATTCCCCTCCTTTTATGAGAGAAGAGAGAGAGAGAGGGGAAAAAAAAAGACCATTTGCTCAGAAGAGTTATGTCAAGAGGCTGAATTATTTTTCTTTTTAAACAGGTGGTCAGATTAAAAAAAACAAAACCTGTGGCGCTGAGAAGTGGGGTGTGGTTTAGGGTGCACAGTGAAATATATGTCTCAATGATCCCAAGGACTGGAGAGGAACACCTTGTAATGGAATATGGTGCAGCTACGAAGACCCAACGGCAAGGCTGCTCTGAACTCCTGGGTTTCTGGTTCTGATGCCCATATACTGGTTGCCCCAGTAGTCTGGCCACAGTAAACAGAGCCTTGAGTAAATCTTGATGTTGTCCCCTTTGTCCGCTGTTCACTGAGATGGGTTTAGCATTTTCTACAATCGAGCGGGGTGCTGGTGGCTCACGCCTGTCATCCTTGCTACTCGGGAGGCTGAGATCTGAGGATTGCTGTTCAAAGCCAGTCCAGGCAGGAAAGTCTATGAGACTCTTTTCTCCAGTAAACCACTCAGAAAACCTGAAGTGGCACCGTGGCTCAAGCGGTAGAGCGCTCACCTTGAGCTGAAGAGTGCAGGGACAGCGCCCAGGCTCAGAGTTCAAGCCCCATGACTGACAAAAACAAAAAATACAAATTAGCTACTGAACAGCCCATTTCTGAGTCTGCTTAGCCTTTTCAGCTTTATCACAGTGACATAAAGACATTTAGTGTGGGGGTCCTCCATGCCTCAATCTCTAGCACTTTGAATCCAGCACTTTCTATTATGTCTCCCACTATCCTTGAGGATATCCACAGATTCTGTGGATGGGTGTAGGTGTGCTGGCCTGGGGCTTGAACTCGGGGCCTTGTGCTCTTGCTTAGCTTTTTCTGTTCCAAGTGGGCACTCTACCGCTTGAACCACCCCTCCACTTTGAATCAAAGAGCCTCAGATAATTGGCCTTCAGAGTAGCTAGGATAAATGGCTGGCACCCAGCTAGAACTTTTTTTCTTTTATCTCTTGGAGACAAGTCTTCCTGTATAGCCTAGACTGACTTTGAACCCTGATTTTACTGCTTCAGCCTTCAGAGTAGAGCCTGGGAGTGTGTGTGCCACCTGGCCTCGCTTTTGTGTGGGCCTTGTTTTTGGGGGGCGGGCCGGGGACAGGGGTGGATGGGTCGGTCGTGGGGCTTGAACTCTGGGCCTGGGCGCTGGCCCTCGGCTCTACCACCCTGAGCCCGGGCGCCGCTCGCCGTTAGTCTGTTGGTTCCCTGGCGTGGTGAAGAGTCTCCCGGATTTTCCTGCCCGGCCTGGCTCTGAACCACGATCCTCCGCTCTCAGCCTCCCGCGGAGGAGCCGGCATGCCGGGCGGGAGCCACCAGCCATCCTGGTTTTAGGTGGGTTCATTTTTGGCACATGACCGGGGTGAAAGAACCCTCCAGTGGTCCAGGCCTTTGACCTTTCACCTGGGGGGGGTGGGGCCTGGGTCTGAGAGCCAGCACGTGAGCCGGGTGCGGTGACCGTTGCCGGGCCAGCCGCAGCGGGGTGCGTGTGTGTGCGGGGTGGGGTGAGGCCGCGGCTGCGGGGCTGGGGACGGTGGGGGGGTCCGCGGCCTGGGGGGGCGGAGCCGCCATGCGGGCTGGGGGGGGGGGGGCTCGGTGCCTTCCCCGGTTCTCACCCCCCCCCCCCCCCCCCCCCCGCCGCCCCTGTTAGGAGCCATGTCGGAGAAACTCCGCAAATGCCGCAAGGAGCTGACGGCCGCCATCGATCGCGCGTTCGAAGGCGTCCGGCAGTGCCAGGAGGGCGTGGGCCCGCCGCCGCCGCCGCCGCCGCCGCAGGCCTGCCCGCTGCCCCTGCACAGGCTGCTGTGCCGCCGCCACCCGCCGCCGCCGGCCCCCGCCGCCGCCCCCGCCGCCCCCGAGCACGAGCACAGCCCCGCCTTTGCCCCGCACCACGGCCCCGCGGGGCCCAAAGCGCTCGGCCTCGGCCCCAAGAGGAAACCGCTGAGCAGCAAGGAGAACGTCCTGACGCACTCCTCCCTGCTGACCCCTGCCGAGAGAAAGTTCTGGAGAGCCGCGGCGGACGGCGAGCACTGGAGGAAAGACGGCTTAAGGTGATCCCTCAAGTGGAAAGGGGTTCTGCAGCGCTTGGCCGCCCAGCTCACGCAGGAGGTTGGAGGTCTGAGGATCGTGGTTCGAGGCCAACCCCGGGGCAGGAAAAGGCCGTGAATGAGATTCTTAACCTGCAGTGACCCACCCAGAACACTGCAAGGGGATAGATAGGCCGTGCCTCCAAGGGGTAGCGTGGCCAGCCTTGAGCCAAACAAGCTCGAGGACAGCGCCCAGGCCCTGAGTTCAAGCCCCAGGACTGGCACGCATGCACACACACACACACACACACACACACACACACACACACACACACACTAGCTTTAAGCCAGGTGCTGGTGGCTTCTATGCCTAGCTGCTCAGGAGGATGAGATCTAAGGATTGAGGTTCAAGGGCAAGGTTGAACCTGGGCAGGAAAGTCAATTTTGTCAGTCGTGGGGCCTGAACTCTGGGCCTGGGCGCTGTCCCCTCAGCTCTTCAGCTCAAGGCCAGACTAATTCTGGGCACCTTGACTTGGAGCAGAGACAATCACATGGGATGCCACTTCAGAGCCCCGCCATCTTGTCTACCTGAGGACAGGAGATAAAGATGTTTTAACCGGCTCAATTCCACATGTCTGTATATTGGTATTCATAAACATTAGTGCAGCGGGTGATGGTAATGAGTCCCTAAATTTAGAAGTTTCTGACGATTGTTCTGTGATGGTATACATGACAAAATGACCAGTACATTTTTGTCTTTTAGATTATCTAACAATGAGTTCTCCAGTGTTTTCTTGAAAGAGGATTTAATTCCTCACCTTTCCTCCCCCCGTCCCCTGCCTGGGGACTGCAGGAAAGATACAGAAAGAGATTTGAAAGTTGAATCAAACATGATGCTCAACGGGTCTAGCCAAGAGGTCACTAAAGATCTACTTGATATGATTGGTGAGTAGAAAGCAGCTAGCCGTCATCTCCTTGAGAGCATAAGTTCTTCATACAGGCCTTGGAGTTACCATATGTATTAGGAAGGAAAAGAAAAAACAAAACCAAAAAACCTCTTATCTATATATTTGGTAGGTTTGTTTTGCTTCTAGCAGCTTTTATGCATAGAGCAGTAAGTTAAGGAAACCCAATTCCTTGCCTTCTTGGAACTGGTAACCTAATGAGGTCATGCATCAAATCATAGCATTTCATAAATGTCTAGTCTATTGAGCCTCTGAAAATAAGGAACAAAAGACCCTAAGGCTTGGTTTCTTGTGCTTGGGATCTGAATGAAATAGACCATAGGCAAAGCGGAGTAAAAGGTGACTATTCTTCCTTTTTTTTTAAAGATCATACGAGCATCCGAACTATTGAAGAACTTGCTGGGAAACTAGAATTTGAAAATGAATTGAACCGTGTATGTGGCCGCTGCCAAGATTCCCCTTTTAAGGAAGAAGCCTGGGCTCTGCTTGTGGATGAGAGCCCTCAAAAGGCTTCCGATGCAGACCCTGGAAATCTCAAACAGGCTTTCGATGACCAGAATATTATTGAGACCGTTCTAGACTTGGAAGAGGATTACAATTTAATGACCTCTTTCAAATACCACATTGAATAAGAAAAAAAAAATGTATTCCTGCCTTTTACCCTTGATGGCAAAAGGCTACTAAGGGCACTTGTGGGGAAGCAGCTCCAGTGGTCAGTAAGAGTCTGGGTTTTCAAAGTGTTGCTATACCCTTTTTATTCAGTTGTAACCCTTTTTGAGCTAAAAGCCCAGTTTTTGTATTCTGTTACTTTGAAATGTTCCTATACTATTTATTTATTTTTCAGATTTAACATATTGAAAGTGTTCTTTTTTTAAAAAAAAATTAATGTTTAATACAACTAGTATCTGAAGGAGTATGGGTTGTGCTTCTGCTATGTCTCTTGGTATTCTTTTACATGGAGCCCTTAAAAAAAAAATATGAGGGATGCCGGGTGCTGGTGGCTCATGCCTGTAATCCTAGCTACTCAGGAGGCTGAGATCTGAGGATCGCGGTTCAAAGCCAGCCTGGGCAGGAGAGACCGTGAGACTCCTATCTCCAATAAACCACCAGAAAACCGGAAGTGGCGCTGTAGCTCAAGTGGTAGAGCGCTCGCCTTGAGCTGAAGAGCTGAGGGACAGCACCTAGGCCCAGAGTTCAAGCCCCGCGACCCACCAAAAAAAAAAAAATATGAGGGATATTTGAAGGGTGGGTTTTATGTACCTTGTGGGATCAGCCTATCCTAGACTAGCTCAGCCCAGATAGAAACTGAGTCGTGCTGGCGGGGCACTGGTGGCTCATGCCTAGAATCCTAGCTACTCAGGAGGCTGAGAGCTGAGGATCACAATTCACAGCCAGCTTGGGCAGGAAAGTCCATGAGACTCTTATCTCCAATCAACCACTCAGCAAACTAGAAGTAATGCTGTGGCTCAAGGGGTAGAGCAAGCTCAAGCTGAAGAGCTCAGAGACAGTGCCCAGGCCTAGATTTCAAGCCCCACAACTAACAACAACAACAAAAAAGAATTTCTTAAAGGGATTTTCTTATTCTCCCTCCCTGTAAAAACAGTTTAGTTTAGCCAAGTAGGTAAACCCTGGATCTCTGGCATGTCAGTCCCAGATTAGTAGCAGTTGGCCTTGGGCCCTTTCTTGCAAGCCTGGCTTCCAGAAGTAACCCAAGGAGACCTTCCTGTCATTGTCATTTGCATCCACAGATGTGTGCTCTTCTCTAGAAGGGGGGGTAGGGGGGGGTTAAGTTCCAGCAATTTAGCTGGAGAGGGAAGAGGAGCCTAGACCACAGAATTTTCAGGTTTTTTAGGAGCTGGGACTAAAGGACTCTCAGGGAGACGTGACAGTTGACCTTGGTCATGCCTGAGGCACTTTAGAAAAATGTTTGACGTCATTTGATTCTCTCCCCCACAATTCATCTTGGCAAGCCAAACAATCACTGAATTGTTTCCGTGGAAACTCCAAACTGCAATTTGGATTACCGGAATCAAAATAGAAACAAGGCAGATTCAAGAATAAATAGGAGCTCTGGAACCCGAGAGTTGCAAACTGCAAATTCAAATCAGCATAGACATTTCAGAAGCTGAACCCATCCACTCCTATGAGGAGAGGTTTTCAGGTGTAGGGCGCCAGAATTCATGCCAACCCCACAGCTTTATAAATAAATGGGATGCTTTTTTGGCACTACTTTAGGCAGGAACTGGTGTAGAGAGAGGAAAAAATGCCCCAAGCAGGCTTTTGGAGGGAAAGGTAGGGAAAAGGACAGGAACAAGGGGAGATGGGTGGAAGACGGAAAAGTTTAGCAGGAGCAGAGCAATAGTTCTTTGAAAGGGACAATTCTTCCGGGGGTGGTGGCTCACGCCTATAATCCTAGCTACTCAGGAGGCTGAGATCTGAGGATCACGGTTCAAAGCCACTTTGGGCAGGAAAGGCTGTGAGACTCTTATCTCCAATGAACCACTCAGAAAGCCAGAAGTGGTGCTGTGGCTCAAGTGGTAAAGCACTCACCTTTAGCTGAAGAGCTCAGAGACAATGCCCAGGCCCAGAGTTCAAGATCCATGACTGACCAAAATAAAAAGCGGGGGGTAGGGGGGGAGCAATTCTAGAAGCATGGTTGAGGGCTAGGGACATGACTCAAATGGTGAAGTACTTGGATTAATTCCCAGTCCAAAACAATAACAACAAAAACTCCAAGTGGCATGGCTGACAGTAAAACACTGCCCTGAATTCAGCCAGATGGTAATGCTCATCACACTTCTAAGAATGGTTGGCTATCTTGCCACAAGGATCTGGTACTAGACAACTTTTTTTTTTTTTCTTTTTCTTTTTCTGGCCAGTTCTGGGGCTTGAACTCACAGCCTGGGCACTGTTCCTGAGCTTCTTTTGCTCAAGGCTAGTGCTCTACCACTTGAGCCACAGCACCACTTCTGGCTTTTTCTGCATATGTGGTACTGAGGAATGGAACCCAGGGCTTCATGCATGCTAGGCAAGCACTCTACCCCTAAGCCACATTCTAGACTAAGAACTCTTGCCAGGTGATTCCTGGCCACTGTTACCACACCTCAGCCTCTGTGCTAGAGGGGGAGCATCAAGGGACACTGGAACCTGCTTTCTCTTCTCTGCCTCCTACAAAGGAAGGAACAAAGGAAGGACCTGTGGGTTCTCTTGGACTTTCCCTTTCAATCCCAGAGAAGATTCCAAAGGGGTGAAGAAAACATGAAGGAGACAAGTCCTACAACCTCTGTACCCAAGAATGCATTGAGAAGGCAGTAATGCCATCTTGCAAAGGTGGAGTTGTCAGTAGTTCATGTTGTTTTGTTTTGTTAGTGGTGGGGCTTGAACTCTGGGCCTGGTCACAGTCCCTCAGCTCTACCACTTGAGCCATAGCACCACTTCCGGTTTTCTGGTGGTTTATTGGAGATAAGTGTCTCACAGACTTTCCTGCCCAGGCTGGCTTTGAACTGTGATCCTCAGATCTCAGCCTCCTGAGTAACTAGGATTATAGGCGTGAGCCCCTGGCACCTGGCCAGTTGTTCTTGTTTAAGAAAGACTGAGGAAGAGGATTTGCAAAAGGGACCTAATTGGGGCCTATGTTTCTCCTCAAATAGCCAGGCCAGGGGCTTATCTAGTACTAGAACAGAATGGTACTATGATGAATGAGCCAGATACTAAACCAGATGCTTAATATGGTAACAAAAACCAATGAATGAGTCACTAAAACAAGGAGAGGCCTAGGAAAGCCAGTGTACGTGATTGTTGATAGTGAAAAGGCTCTGTCTCCCTGAGACCATTTGAGGTTCTGACAATTCCCTTTTTTCCTAGTGTGGAAGAACATGAATATTTTAGGTTCCAGCTAAATATTTACAGAAGGAACTAAGTTTTGCTGAGAAAAATCTATTTGACAATGGATCCCAGCCATATTGTGAAGAGACATTGTGACCACAGGCTGTCTGAAAAATGCATAATTAATGACGAGTTTTGGACTAAGAGCTGACATAATTTAGCTACCCAACCTTTATAAGAATTTATGATTTTTTTTTTTGTCAGTCATGGGGCTTGAACTCTGGGCCTGGGTGCTGTTCTGCAGCTCTTCAGCTCAAGGCTAGCACTCAACCACTTGAGGCACAGTTCCACTTCTGGCTTTTTTATTTATGTGGTGCTGAGGAATCGAACCCAAGGCCTCATGCATGCTAGGCAAGCACTCTACCACTGAGCCACCTTCCCAGCCCCATCGTGATCTTTCTTGAAGCTAGAGAGGCTGCTGTTTTTTTGTTTGTCAGTTGTAGGGCTTGAACTCAGGTCCTGGGTACTGTCCTTGAGTTCTTCTGCTCAAGGCTAACGCTCTACCACTTTGAGGTACAGTGCCACTTCTAGTTTTTGAGTGGTTAATTGGAGATAAGAGTCTCAGGGAGACTTTTCTTCCCAGGCTGACTTTGAACCATGATCCTCATATCTCAGCATCCTGAGTAGGATTACAGGTGTGAGCCACCGGTGCCTGGCTGAGGGTACTGTTTACTGGATGTTTTGGACAAAGAAAAGGTTGTTGGAAACTTCCCTGACAGAGAGAAGTAGATAGGTCCTATAGGAAACATCTCAAGGAAGCCTTTGGAATATAGGAGACAAAACACCAAAAAAGCTGCTGGGTGCCAGTGGTTCACACCTGTAACCCTAGTACTTAGAAGGCTGAGATCTGAGGATTGTGGTTCAAAGCCAGCTGGGGCAGGAAAACCCATGAGACCCTACCCCCAATGAACCACCAGAACACTGCAAGTGGTATTGTGGCTCAAAGTGGTAGAGTGCTAGCCTTGAGCAAAAGAGCTCAGGGACAGCACCAAGGCCCTGAGTTCAAGCTCCACAACCACCAAAAACCAAAACAGAAAAGTTGGACAGGGGCTGTGAGGAGCTGTTGGCCAAAGAATGTAATCCTCATCCATATTTGTCAGGTGTATACTCCCAACCCTCTTCTACATGCTGGAGACACAGCAAAGACAAGACAGAGTCAGTTCTTGCTTCTGGAGTTTATATCCTTGAAGAAGGCAGAAACAAGCACCCAAATGAATACAGATTCAGATGGTGTGAGACAAGATGGGGAAAGGGAATCGGAGGTAAGTCGGGTGAGCAGGGAGGTCAAGGAGGATGAGTGACATTTAAATGGATACAGCAATGCCAGACAATGCAGTAGCAGCTTCATTTCCATCCTAGGCTGTAGCTAGAGTTGTAACAGAGGGAGGAGTCCTTGCTTGGGAGTTCCTCCAGCTCCCCATTGCAGACTTCCCACCATATCCGCCCCTACATAGCTACATACAGCATCTGAGAAGCCAAAAATGTTAGGTGCTCTGGGGCTGTGTCACGCTCATCAAGTCTGGCAGGAACATGGTAGTTAAGAAAAAAAAAAAGCCTTAGCAATAAAATAAGAAACAGAATATCCTTTTTTTGAGGATGATTGACAGGCAGTATAATTTTAATTAACCTAACCTTGTTAGGAGGTTAAGTTTACATGTAGCTCCTCTACCAAAAAATGCTCAACTCATGAAACACTGAGTCACTCTGAACTTTGACATCATGACACAAATGAAATACTTGGGAGAAATAAAGCGTGTCATATTACAGCAGAATCAAAGAACTAAGGGACCTTCTAGAAGAAAACCGCAGTCATAAATACCCATGGGGTCCTCTCAACAAGGTCCAACTTTGCATTAAATTAAGCATTAAACTAGTCAATGTAGACTAATAAAATCACTCCAGATATAAACCTCTCTGGTCTGAGAACCTCATGGTAATAGCTCAATAGACACCTGCAGTCAGTCTGGGAATGGCTAGAA